TCTCTTTCCTGTCATTTTTCTCTCGCCGTGAGAGACCTTTGCTTGCTGGGAAAGAAAGAGGACGGTGATATTAATTATTAATTCTGTCTATAGCTCATAGTGTAATATACCCCTATTTACGTATTTTGTAATTTAGTCATATTTATGAATTGAACTTTTATTTTTGGATATTGTTTTGTCCTTTGTATTAAGGTTTGAAATTTGTTGTTGTGAACGCAATCTATTAAGCAGCTTGCTTAACTTGATTAGCCTTAACTGTTTTGAGCTATTTGCGGTTTCCTACTTCTATCACTTTAGTTGAAAAGAAATGAGATATTAAAAATCATTGTTGTTATTTAATGTTAAATTCTTGTTAAAATGGTGATTTTAATTTTTTGTTCTTTACTTTTCTTATGAAAACCTTTACAGCAAAAATGCAAGATCTACGTGGAGCGAACATGCAATCGCCGTTAGCAGCTGGTGAACTTCAGGGAAAAAACTTACAAAGGCGACCGAGGGAGATACAGCAACGCGACAACTCACAAAGGAAGTTGACAGAGATGCCACGACAGCAGGAAAACTTGCAAAGGCAGTTACAGGAAATGCAGCAACGCCAGGAAAATTCGCAAAGGCAGTTGAGAGAGATGCAGCAACGCGAGGAACATTCGCAAAGGCAGTTGAGAGAGATGCAGCAACGCGACGAAAATTCACAAAGGCAGTTGACGGAAACGCAACGAGAGCGGGAAAACTTGCAAAGGCAGTTACAGGAAATGCAGCAACGCGAAGAAAATTCACAAAGGCAGTTGACAGAGACGCGACGACAGCAGGAAAACTTGCAAAGGCAGTTACAGGAAATGCAGCAACGCGAAGAAAACTCGCAAAGGCAGTTGAGAGAGATTCAACAACGCGAAGAAAACTCACAAAGGAACTTCAGAGAGTCTCAGCAACGCGAAGAAAATTCGCAAAGGCGGTTGACTGAAATGCAGCGACAGGAGGAAAACTTGCAAAGGCAGTTGAGAGAGATGCATCAACGATTAGAGAACTCCCAACAACAGGTGTCCACCTTAGAAAGACATCTGAGAGGCAAAGATCGGGAAGTAAATGAACTAGAGTTAAGTCTTTCATTAGCCCAGCAAACGATAAGTGAACAACGACGGCAGGAAACATGTGACTGGGTCATTTCCCGTAATGAAATTCAAATGACAGAGAATTGCCTAGGGAGGGGAGGCTGGGGAAGCGTCAGTGAAGGTACCTACTGTGGCTGTACTGTAGCAGTGAAGCAAATCCATGACCTGATTCTGTCTCCTCACAACAGGCTTCTATTTGAAAGAGAAATGAATATTGCTTCAGCTTGCCGCCATCCCTGTTTGCTGCAGTTTATTGGCGCCACAAATGACGAGGGAACTCCTCTGTTTGTGACCGAGCTCATGGAGATGAGCCTGCGAGCTTTGTTGGCACAGCGGCAACTTTCCGAAACAGAAATAACTGTAATTTCTTTGGATGTAGCTCGTGCACTGAACTACCTTCATCAGAAGAAACCACATCCCATCATTCACCGGGACGTTAGCAGTGCCAATGTGTTGCTATGGCGACAAGGTGATCAATGGAGAGGCAAAGTGTCAGATTACGGCACTGCTAATTTCATGCAGCAGACCATGACAGTGGCTCCTGGAGCTATGATTTATAGCTCACCTGAAGCATTAACACCAAACCAAACAGCGAAGGTTGGTTATTACTGATTTTAGGGCCCAGCTTTCAGTTTTATAAGTATATAACACAGTGTGTGCGAGCGTGACCTGCGGAGTTTGAGTGAATGTTTTTGAGGCGAGATGTCACTGAGTCATTCAGAAAGTACTTTATGTTTAGAAGGTTCTTCAGTTGAAATCGTCTCTTAGCATCAGAGCAAGAAAGGTGGATCAAAATGTAGATTTCTCAAACGTAAACTCAATTTTCCTTCCTAATTTTTTTAGGTTGATGTTTATAGCTATGGTGTTTTATTGTGCGAAATGTGCATTCGGGAACTCCCAAATCCTGAAAAGCGTGACGAGCAAGTTTTGTTGATGACGAGCCGCGTGTTAAGAGGCCTGGTACGGCGATGCCTGCAGACAGATCCTGAAGCGAGACCAACCATGCAGGAGATAATCGATGAATTATCTGGAGCTGTGTAACGTCCATTAAATATGTTGGGAAAATGTTTGTTGTTAAAAGATTCAGTGAATTGTTAAAAATGTTTATTGCGGGAAGTTGTGTCGAATCGTTTCTCGTGACAAAGTAGCTTACAAAAGTGTTACTAGAAAAACAATTACTCGGGTTAAAAACAAACAACTTATTGGACATAGCAAGGTTTTCTCTGTAACGTTTTAGTAATGATACCCAAAAGCCATACGGCTGTATATATTTTTCGTATTCACCATCGTAGTTAATAGCAAATGATTTTTTTCGAGTAGCGTTGTTTAAAACAAGTTAATTAGGTCTGGGAGAAAGTCGCAGAGACGCTAGTCTATGTCCTAAGCTTGCTTTCTATTTGATGGTTAAATTGGAACAATAAAAAATAGTTAGCTTTGCTTTTCCATATGCAACAGATTACGTTACTTGCAAGAAATATTTTGACATTTATTCAGATATTACTTCCTTCTGAAGAAGTTCATAGACATTAGGTAGACAATATTTTTTTAATTTTGGATATGGCGCTTATTACAAGTATTTGAATATACAATGAAATGAGCGTTGTAGTTACTAAATAGCAGTTATGTTACTGGAGTAGACATGAGTTCTCTGTGCCGGTAGTAGGGAACTTATTCATAAAGCAGGGTTTACTTCAATTTCTTTGTACTTCCTTATACTTACTTCCTTAGGTTGTAGACGTAAAATTGACGGAAGATACTGGCAGATGTGTCGCCTATATAAAATTCAGTTTAGGATATACCGTTGAATCCGTCGCGTAGTAAAGGCCACTAGGCATTTGTAATAAACGTTTCGTACCCAAGAGGTAACTTACCTTTAAAATATAATTTACTTAAATTTGTACAGTTGTAGTTATCTGCTTATGAAGTAGACAATGTTGAATAGACAATATCGAGTAGAGAAACAATGATTATATCAGTGTATGGCTTATGAAACGTTTTTTACGATATACGATTAAATCGGTGGAGTAGCTAGCTCATTAAGCGATTATAATTAGAGTCTCCTATCCAATAGGTAACTTACTTGTAGAAAAGAATATACCATAATTCATAAGTTACTTTCTTATGAAGTAGGTCATGGAAATGAAATAGACAATGTTAAATTGACAATATTGAGTGAAGACACAAGTATGAATATGACTCATGAAATGTTAAGGATATACACTGTAAGATTAAACCTGCATACATATACACGTGGATGCTCGCGCATAGGAGGAAATTTACCATCACGTGGTCTGAAATGGGAAAACAAAACATACAAGCTAAAAAGGTCTATTGTAATCATTAGTTGTAACATCCATCAGGACCAATCGTATCTTGCATTGTAACCTCAAATCATAAGTGTTTCACTTGTAACTGAACTAATCAGTGATCGAGAATCGATCGAAACATACCGTGCTCTCTAAAATCAATGAGGTAGTTGTTGATTTTGTACGGACCCCAGGGTGGTTATTAATTTCAAACACGTTTGAGGGGGAGCTTAATAGAGACGGAGGGCTTACTTAGGGTGGTGGGGCTTATTTGGTTTAGCGAAGATGGTGGTGTCAGTTTGCTATAAAAAAAAAAAAAACTAGAATGCAAAGCGGCTAAGCTCAAACACAGGAAACTGGTATTCATAAAGCCGAGGATCAAAAACAAATCGGAAGCTCCAACATGTGAATAAATCAGTCAGGATCAGTTCAAATAAAGGTTTAAGTCGTGATTGATTAATTAGATTAGTTACAACAACAACAACAACATCTTTATTTCTTACATTAAATATACAAATATCAGAATAAAAAGGGGAGGGAAGGGAGGCTTAAAAGAGAGGGGGATCATTAACTTTCTCCCCTTGAATAAGGGGTGGGGGGGGTACTTTAAAGAGGAGGCTTTACGGTAGTAAAATGATGTACAAGTGATAAGAGGACAAATGACCCCAAATGTGCTGAAATGTGATAGAGAGCTTTCATTAAATGTGTTTACTTTTAAAAACCATCTTTAATATTTGCTAGGCAATAACAGGAATTACACCTATGGGATCTCATTTAGAGGTTTTATGGGCACATTTTTCGGTACATACATCAAACTTTAATTGGTTCTTTAAAATACTTTCGTTAATGAACAATGGGTCCACACTGCTCGGGTGGGACGACTCTCCTACGAATGTGATGAGGTAGATATAAATCTCGGTATGGCTTGGGTATATAGTGGAACCCAGCCCTACGGTCACCTCGTTATTACAGGTATATATCGACTGTCGACTATGGAACTGGAACCTCCCGGATAACTGGAAGTAATTTTTCTTTTCCCTGTTTATTAGGTTCCAGTCTCTTTCTAGATGATTAAATTTGACTGGAATCTTTTTAACCGTCACTAATGAAGATGTATGTTGTTACATACGAAACGTCAAGTCTTGAAAATCTTAGTTTTTTGCAACACGTTGTTTCATCATGTTTGTTACCGCAGTTTGTGTTCTATTTTTTACTGAAGTTGAAATGGCCAAAGAATAAGATTATTTACGGTATGGAAGTGTCATCATTTGGTATCCCAGCAAACAGAGCTCACCCAAAGCGAAACTCCGCCAACAGCAATGACTGAGTCAATAATTACTTTCTAAAGAAACGTGAGCATTAATATAGTAATTGTATATTGACTTCTGTTCTCTCTCTTTGATGCCAACAGTATAACTAAAGTAACCACAAGTCCAAAGATATAAAAACAAGCATTTTTCGTTATTTACAAATATATATTTACAGCTCTGAATGTCTCACAAATGTCACTTAACATAGAAATGTCCTTTTTGCAAAACGTTAAATTTCCCCAATAGCCTGGTAATTGCTACCATTTTTGTAATCTGCCTCAGAAATTAGCCTTCCTCTTTCTAGCTTGTTTTGGTCGCCATGGTTTCGGTTGAGCTGCTCTTTCGCGAGCAAACTGTTCTTCTTGACGTAATCGTTCAAGGAGCTCTTCCTCTAACTGGCGCTGATGTTCACGATACTGTAAAATATAAAAACAAACTACTTTCATGAGAGTATAACTTTTTGGTCTAGCAAGAGAGAATACAATCCCTTTCTACTCTCTTAGTATGGTGTGTGTCATGAATTGTGGATATTGTTGATTGTATTCAACCCCTTGTTTAGTTTTTAATTCGGAGATTGCGTATCACATATGCACTGGATAAAGAGAGTGCAGACATAAATGTTTAAGAAACCCAACTGACAGACCAGTGGCCACATGAATGTCGTGCTTTAACCGCCGCCGGAAACAACGGCAGTCTTCACTCACTGTCCTAACAACCTCTTCTTGCACAAGAACCTAGCCTTCTATCGGCCATAAACAGGCAGTGTTGGACCATTGTCACAGTCTACATGGACTTATGCAAGAAATCTACCTCATTTGCTATTTGGCACTGGCATTTTAGAACAAAAGCTTCACATTTACAAACAAATTTATATACAAAACTCTCAAACAACCATGGCTCGTATCCTTTAGCTTTATAAAGTCTCCAGGTAATTGGCTAAAGTGTAGTGCGACCTTTACTAAAAGGGAACATAGAAATTTGGCAACTTTGCGGCAAACATTAAAAACTCATCACGTGTTCTCTTACCTTCATTTTCGAATTAACATTGGAATTAACCAGGTGATTATATTTATAGCGTGAGCCTGAGGAATGGCGAGGTACAAAGCCGTGCAGCAATAATCAGTCACCAAGATAGTGGTCATCACATCAAACGTGTCCTGCCAGGTCCAGTTAATCATTCTGGTTATAATTCTTGTCAAATAGACTAGAAAAAATTGAGCGATAGTAAGAAATTTTTAATAAACATGAGCAACCAATAAAACACAGACACAGTACAAATGAACAACAGGTTTAAAAAATTACAAACACAAACTGTGCGGTCTACTAACTTCCTTTTATTCTTACAATAACTCCGTGACTTGCAAAAGTTAACTTGACCGGGAAAAGTCAAGAAACAGATTGCGAGAATCACGGACCGGTTTATCTAATGCGCGTATTTTCGTAGAAGCATCGTTATCTCAGAAATGTTTCCACTGATATATAACACCTTTCGGAAGTATCTTATTTTAAACTATGAACGAAAATAGCTTCGTAATTAAGCAACAAACAAACAAAACAAAGATTGACCAGTCACTTTCAAATCAGTTTCGTCCGTCACAAAATGATCGATTGATGCATATTTGCCAAGACGAAATATGCTGGGATTGATTGATTCTTTTCTTTTAAAATTAGGAGTTGAAAAGTGGTCGTCATCTATGAAGAGAGTGTGCATCAAAGTGCTTACAATTTGTGAGATTGCGAGCCTTTTTCTGAGTTTCATTTGATCTGATCAAGCGCATGGTTGCCACGCCCTTGTTCCACGGCTTTGTAGTAATCCACTGTGATTCAGCTTCGCGTCTGGCAGCTTTCTTTGTGCAAAATAATGTTTCCTAAGCAAAAAGGGAAGTTAGATAGATTTGATTAACATAAGTATAAGATATAACCTTAAATAGATTACCGTAAAATTCCGAAAATAAGCCCCGGGGCTTATATTTTTCAAAGGCCCTTTTTGAGGAGCTTATTTTTGGAGGGGCTTATCTACGGAGGGAAATTTGCGTGTCGAAATCGATAGGGCTAGCCTTATAGTTGGAAGAAAACTCATCGTTTTTGCTTTGTTTTACTTTGTATTTGAGGGAAATTTTCCAAGTACAAGCCCCCGGCTGGCTTATATTTGAGGGGCGATTTAACGGAGGGTGTTTTGCGTCACCGGTTTGGAGGGCTTATATTTGGAGGGGCTTATTTTCGGAATTTTACTTTATTCCTTGAGTGTAAATTACTTTTAGTTAAATGCATACTGTACATGTAACATACATGCATGTAGAACAATCTTGGCCCAGTCCCCGCGGTCCAAATACTGGTTCGTCCTCATCCTGGGTTAACTCGAAAACAGGGAAAAGGGCGAAGTTGTAATTCTAACTATTACATAAATTGTCTCGCCCCGAATGCGTAATTTAATAGGGGTTATTTCTACCGTTGCAAACCTCGAAATGGCGGTAAAAAGCTGCCTTCAGATCAAGCAACAACAGGTAGGTGGTATTTTTTTCGTCCATTAAAAGATCACATTACAAAGGTTCAGTTTAATGATGAAGTTATGAATATATGAAAATCATACATAAGGCTGAGTTTGTTAGCTTGTTTTACAGCATCCCAAATGTAAACCTACAATTTATTAAAGGAAAAGCTTGAAGGAATTCTCGTACACATTCTCAGTGCTATGCAATGCAACAAACGACAAGAAAAATTACTTACCGGACCAGTTTTGTTTATCTGTGCAAATATCTCAAACACACTGATTGGTACATCTGCAAATCGCTGATACTGTTGTCGTTTTGCCTGTTTCACTGCTGTTTGCCGGGGAACACTGCTAGGCTTAGAAAAGCCAACAGATACCAAACCTCTGTTCCACAGCCTGGCAATGAACAAGCTTGAGTCAACTGATGGACTAGATTTCTTCGCACAATGAACTGAAATGAAATTTAAAAAAACAACACAACAAATATAAAAAGCTAGACCTGCCCAATGAATAAAGAAAACAGAAAATCATATCGAAGTCTCTATTTCGTATCTCTCTTTAATCATAACTTACTGGAATTATTTCACAGAGAGAACGGCTCTTAAGGTTAGCGGAACAACTATCCCTGAAAGCTTTTCAAGGCACCTTAATTTTAAGGATGATTTGATACAAAGCCATCTCGAGTGCGAATACGTCTTTATCTCTCTATATCTTTTGCTTCTTCCTGCCAGAGAATATAACTCTAAGTCTTGCAGGGCTAAGAATTAACTAAATTTCAGAGTGCGTTCAAGGGATCAATTTTTTTGGGAAAACTGTTGGTGCCACAAATGTCAGTAGATCGCTCGTCTACAACCTTTGCACTAGTTTAAAGTCTTCCGTTGCAGAAACTTGTCCTGTTTAAGTCACTTATGGAGCGATTTTCGTATAACATGAAAAAATGGTTTCTATAACTATTAATGTTTTATCAGCCAATGGATGAAAAAGATCAAAACATGGACTATTCCTTTTCACGCCAAAGAAAACCCTAATGTGGAGAAGGCATTGTTCGATCAGTTGGCCAATCGCGTTGCAGTACGACGTCAAAGCGATTTGTAGAATGTTCTCGGGCATGAAGTTTTTTCGCCGGAGCGTTCGCTTAACCAACCAAAGCTACGCGCGTTTGTATCCGTTCGATAAACCAGTCAAATCGCTCAATTTCCGTTTGTTTATTGTTTCTGTTTTGCAAGGTCATAAGAAAATTGCTCTATAAATACGGGAATTCAAGACTCAGGACCCTGAAAACCATACCCTGTTCCTCGGTACATACCCGTTTAGGCCAAATAAGCCCGCCCCAGATGAAAATATATCACTTACCGGGCCAGTTGTTTTTGAGGCTTTTAAACACATCCTTGAAACATAAACTGGTGACGCTTGTGCCGTCCATTTATCCTGTTTTCTTGTCAATGTTGTTGCCTGATACAAGATACAGCGCTGAATTTTTTGTCCCGTCCTATAGTAGCAGCGCACCGGTTCCATATCCTTGTTGGAAGCAAAGAGGTTTCATTTAAGCGTCTAACAGCCTTCCTTATGCAATGTTCTGTTTCCTAAGAATTTGATATAAAATGAAAACTGTAGAGAGAAAAATAATGATCAGCGCCAAAAATACATAATGATGAACCGCAAAATACCCTTGGACATACAACACAGAGGTTGCTGAAGGTTTCTATAATTTTCCAGAATTTGAACATGATCCAAGCTTTATTCATTAGATTTTTAGTTAAATATTTTATTTTGGGCCCAAAACGTTAAAGAGATTGAGAACCAGGCTCCTGGGCCAGAGGTGCACGCGCTTGGGAGATTGGGGAATATAATTATTACAGCTGGCAGGATGAAGCCCTGTGAATTACATGCATTACTGTGGTGATAAATTCGGACCATCAAGATGAAACTCCTTCCTCCATCTTCTGGCCGGAGTGGGTATTCAACTTAATTACTATTATAATTCTAGCTCTAAAAAAATCAAAGACATGTCCAGACTATCGGTACGCTGATAGGTCAAATCAATGCTTGAACGAAAGACCTGACCCTGAATATATCAAAGATTATACTTTGTTGCTCAGCGGGCCGCTTTTATTCAAACCAATGAGGCATATAGCAGACTCATCTAAGAATTGTTTGGTCATCCACCTACTCCAGGATTTCTTCGCAATTGAACCTCGTAGGAATAAAATGTCTTGGTGCGGGGAAGTCAGTAGCCTCCCACGCAGGCGTTTTTATAATTTAGGGGAGCTCGTATTTCGTCCCTCACCAGAAGAAATACGAGCTCCCCTAAAATCGCCTGAGCGGGAGGCTAGGAAGTTAGGGAAGGTAAATTGTTAATGTACGCAGGCTAAGCTTTTCACGTTCCTTCATGCACACACCACTGCGATCCTTTTTAACAGCTGGGACCCACCAGTCTGTGGTTGATTTGGACAGATCGTTAGATCTCCTTTTGCATCATTAGATGAAGTAAGTGTACCAATGACTATTTTGAAGTTCACACTTCGTTCATCTACCTTCTCTGAGAGATTGTTTGCTTGGTTTGTTTCGTCAACCAAATCTGACAAGGTCTCAATTTTCAAGGTAGATTGAGGTTCATCCAGAAGAGCTAAGGTTCCAATCTCAGTGTCCTTCTACTGCAGTGAAAGCCTGTTCAGTTCTTTGGCATAATTTTTCTCATTAGCAAACCTTCCCAGTGTAGTAGAAATTTCATCCTCCTCACGGTCAAGCCTCGTAACGGTATTACGGTTTTCAGGAACTGTTTTATGTAAAGCCATACCATAGTATCCCATAGCAGCAAACTCTAGGGGCGTATCAGGCCAAAATTTATCCAAAATGTCTACTGAAATAAGCATATTGGTCAGTGTTGCCGAGAAACATGACGTCATCCTTTTCTTGTCTTTTTGATGAACGGATTTCAGGGTGGAAACCAAAAAAGGGCAATATAGAAAATTTTGGAAGTTCAGATTTATCTTTACTTAGTTTTTCACTGTCAGAATGACCCATATTAACGCGACTGGTTCACGGCGTTTATTTGTTCCATTTTCCATGATTTCATTCACCTCCTTTTCAGCCTTGCCAGACGACGCGGTAGCATTAGTTTCTCTGTTCTCTAGGCTTGTAGCTGGCAGGGTTGTGTTATCTTTACCGTTCTCTGCTGTGACATTCTCAGACTTCTTGGACAAAGATTTGCTCTCAGGCTTGCTGTAAGTCAGAGACATCAACTGAATACTTGAAGCCACGGGGCAAGTTATCTGATCCTTATCATTAATGTCTAAAATGATTACACTGTGATTCACAGTGTAAAAGGACGATAACAATGTGCAGAATATATCGTTAAGCCCTAATTGTCCACGTTAAGCTTTTATTTTTACTTAATTAGCCTGCGTGACAGGCGCCCCTTTTTTTAAAATGGATGCTGGGCCTAAACCTTGGGGATGGGCGAGCTTATTGCTCCTTGTTTACCCCCACAACATTTTGCATAATCATTGCTTCGAATTCCTCCCGGGTATTACAGTCGTCCCAAGAGAAATCGAAAACAATGGTCATGCAGTGAAAATTGTGTGTAAGCGAAAGTTTACATATATTATTGAAGCCCGAATTAACCTTTCTGCAGCAACATGTTTAAAGTGTAGGCAAGTCCAACAAGTCTGGAAAGGCGATTAGAATCTCAAAAGTTTGGCTACATTTTTGCTATTTTAGCCTTCATCGGCCATTAGCAGCCTTGTTTTCAGCATCAATAGGAAACTAGCGCAATCTCAACGGTGAACGCTTACTGTCTAAAACAACTTGGCAGTGAATTTTTTTGTAAAATATAATATAAAAGGTATCCGGTATGAACACACATCCGATATGTAACTCTCCACTTTATAGATCAGCGCAGCGCACTTTCGCTCCGTTACAGAAATTGCGCAGAAAAGAAATCACTGTTTGTACCAGTGTGAACAGAAGCCCTATCCTGTATGGTTTTCGCGCCGGCGCAAAAGCTATCCGGTGTTAATAGTAATGTGGACATTAAAGCCAAACTTACGCCGTCTGCCGGACAAGTAGAATCCGATGCAGTAACTGTCCTGCGAGCAAATGCGTCTGAGTTTATGTCCTTCGGCCACTCGATACCAATATATAGCCATTTCAAAACCAACTTCACGGCACTTAAGAGACTGTTCCATAATGATGCTGCTAACCATGTGGAGTTGTTTACTGCCGCATCTCCCTGGATGATTTCTTGTTTGGCTGCGGTTGGATGTTTCCATGACTTTTGATCATGATCGATGAGTCACGGTTTGTGATTCCTTTGCATCAACCATGTCCATTTGTTGTTCCTAGTCTATTTCCGTCTTTAGAGAAGAGAGACAAACCGTCGTTGACTTAAATTAGCCTAAAAAACAGCCTACCTTTTAGACTCGTTTTGCGTTTTCCCTTGAAATATGATATCTGTCTCAGAACGAACGCTTATATTCTATATATCAAAATGCAACGTCGCTTGCAAATCATTAAGAGCCGTCGGTTACGTTGTGAAACTCTAGCACGGTTAATTTGCTTCTGTTTTTTTATTGCATTTCTTTACTTTGCTTTAAACTTACTTCATTTGCTTCCAAAGTCTTCAACAACAGTAAAGCGTGGATGGAACGGTTCTTCAGCGACGTTGATTCCTGCATTTGAAGGCAATAACAAGCGCATAAATATTTTAAATTTTTTTCGTAAACCGCTCAAATGCGGCTGATCACTATAAACCGTGTGAAAGTGTGTGCTAATACTTAAATTGAGCCTTAAAATCCCACGGCTACAACTAGATTACAACAAAGCTACTAAAAAGAGTTTTGAAAAGTGTTTTTAAACTTTGTGGAAACAAAAAACGGAACTTGACGTCGTAAGTAACTTTGATTACGCGTGCCAGAATCGCATTCGATCCTTAGAAACATGTAACCAAGGAAACAAAATAATCCAAACAAATAACATTTCAGTTTCAACTGGTTGAGGCCAAGAAGAGAAAATTTCACGACAACCAGATAAATTCAATCCTAAACAAATTAAAGAATCGCTAACCTACTTTTGAATGAAAAGTTGACGCAGTAGTTTGATAACTTAAAGGCAAAAGCAAAGTTAGTCTGGGAAAATAACGATTTTCGCGTGTGCCCTGTACTTTTGCCACAAGCTTACGCCATCGAGGAAAATCACCTGAAAAGAGCAGATGTGAAAATAACACAAGTTTTACCTTCCTCGATCGTTGAAATTTTCCGAAGCAGTCAAAGTTCCTAACATTGTTATAGGAGGTAGATTAAAAACATTCATTTTGTCAACATGACTTTTCTCTTTCCAAAGCGCAACACGACTAAACTTGTTTAGCGACGTGGAACGATAAAAAACCGGACGTCATAAAGACAAAATAGAATGATTTCCTGCGCGCGTAAAGTTTATGGAACACTTCTTTATCCTCCGATATATTGCATTACATTGACATCCATTGCAACTGTTCATTTTGTTAATAACAATGACACGTGAAACGTTACTCTAAAGGCTACGTTTACGCTAGAGTCGATTTTTCCGGATTCGTCAAGAATATGGAAGCTTCAGATTACCGGATTCGTTATATCGTTTACATGCAGATCTCCGACGCGGGGCACTGCCTGACCTTATTTGGCCCTATAAGTGGGTTTGTACCGCTGAACAGGGTATGGTTTTCTTTTACAATCTTGAGTGTTAAGCAAGGTATACATAAATTATCGTTCTTGAAAGGAGTGTCTTTTTGGACCGGAAGCCTTTCGAAAGAATTAATGCGACGGTTCGCGATGAGTTCAGTCTATGTGCTACCAACAATTTTTATTCCAAAACAACTAATTTCATAATGTTATTTTGAAAAATATTTCTATTCTGTGTGCAAGAAAAAGAACTAATTAGGGTCATACAATAGGGTCTCTTTTCTTTAAACAGGGTTGCAAAATGAACGATTTTTGCCTTCAACCGGGGTCAAGGCTTGAAGGCGCGCCTCGGCGGCACACCTCTACCAAAACTTCCCTTGACTTCCTCACAGAACAGAGAGTCTCAATGGGGTGGTAGCTTTGATGAATGTCGGTTAATTTTTACCAATTTTGATGGGCGACGGTCAAATTTTGAAATAATAAATAAATGAATAAATAACTAATAATTTGGAGGTAGCACGTCCACAAAGTGGTTCTTCGTCTGGCCTGATTCCTAGTCGAATTGGAATTTGCAATTCATGGAGTTTTTGGTTTTTGAGGAGAGGGGAAAACCGGAGTACCCGGAGAAAAACCTCTCGGAGCAAAGGAGAGAATCGACAACAAACTCAACCCACATATGGTGTCGACGCCAGGATTTGAACCCGGGCCACATTGCTGAGAGGCGAGCACTCTCACCACCGCACCATCCCTTGCTTCCCAAAACCAAAAACTTTTAATGGTTGACGATTATTGAGAATCGTTATTGAGTCCAAAAGTTAAATTAAATATAAACTTCGCCCCTGCAGAGTGAAGGCGAAATCTCTAGTAACTCGCGCGTATATTAAGGAAACTACTTACAGTTGAAATATGCAGTCAGTATGCCAGAAAGAATCTCAATTTGCTTGAGCAGGGGCCGCGAGGAATCGGTAGGTAATGATGACGTTTCTATTGTTTGCGCCGCAAGTACGAAATGGTTAAGATGACGTAAAGACAGAAAATCCCGAAGGGACAACTTAGGTCACAGGGTCCTGAGCAAGAGAGGATAAAGGGGACAGAGAAGGCATCCACCATATACACCCTATTCCATAGGTAATTCGTCTCGAGTTATTTTTAGAATCGAGATAAACTGACCTCGCGCGTTGCGTGGATGATTCGTGGAGGTTTCGCATGACTAAACGTCGTGCAAAACATGTCGGGCTAAAGGCAATGAAAGCGTAAAGAGATCGAGAGAATTTCTGAATATTGAAGCGAAATGAGTCGGCGCTCACCTGGGAAAAGGGAATAGCTGGACTCTTTGACAAGCCGTGAAATCAGTTTAACTCGAAGTTGTCGTAGCCTCAGTGCTTTAATAAAATGAGAAATTTCGCCGGTCTATTGAGACCTGTCGTTTGTACAATAAAGCAAGTAGGACGCCAAGTGTTATTTTTGTTGAATAATAAAAGACTAATAAAAGAATAAATATCAAACCAGAAATTGCTCTCTTCAAACTGTAAATTATAAATGATCCTGAGAGAATATTCAGTGTGTTAAGGATTACCCTGCTTTACTGCTAGCTCTATACAAGACAGGAAGGGCGAATTTTTTTTAATTTCCGTTTCGCTGACACAGCTTTAGCAGAAATCTCTCTTTAGTCGTTTTCGTCGGCAAAACGAATGGCAGTATCGCTCTCCGCGTCTTCCGCCATTTTGTTCTGCGTCAATTCATGAAGGACGCGTAGCTCTGAGTTTGGGTCATCCACGCAGAACACATTCGCGCTATGTGATTGGCTGTTGTCTAATCCCCCTTGGGATCTGTGGTCTTAAAAATAACTCGAGACGAATATCCTATGGAATAGGGTGTGTATGGGGGATGCCCTCTCTGTCCCCTTTATCCTCTCTTGGTCCTGAGGAATTTCGTGTGAATAAATGAATTACTTATTTTAAGTCTCACCTTGAAAAATGTCTGTACGTGTACCTTAGCACGATTAATTAGCCCAGTGGGATATTTATGAATCTACTGTAAACATGTACAATTTCTTCGCTTCTTATCTGACCCAGATCGACTTTGTTGTTCGCTGTTTTGAAAATCAATAACCGCAAGCCATATCCTCGCTGGCGCCTTGCACGTCGAAGCGCGACCGAGGCACCAAGTGCCAATCTTGCAAGCCCTCAGTCTCTTGGTTTACGGTATATAGAATGTGTAACGACGAAACTGTAACGCGATCAAACTAACCCATTTTTTCAGAGGTTTTCAACGGGTTTTGATGTTCTAACGACAAACACATCTCCTCTGGACCCCGTGACAAAGTCGGATATGACAATTCATACCGATATCAGTGAAATAATTGGTAAGTGAAGACATGACTTAACGCTTGAGGCATCTTTTAACCCGGGGGTACTCAATGAATTTTTATACGGGGAGGCTCCGCCCTAAGGTCCAACCCCTTACCCTTTTCTATACCATTTTTCACGGAAAAGGTACCCCTTTCATATACCTTCTATTGACAAATGACCCCCCTTTCACATACCTTGTTTAGAACTTTGTATCCCTTTTAACTGCTGTAAATGCACTGTCTTTTAAATAGGAATCAATCACAAAAATGGAACATTTTCTCGACTTTATAAAGCTATAAAATTCATCTGTTAGCCCTTTGTCCCTTTCACAAACCCAAATGACAGATTTCCCTACCCTGTCGTATGCTCCAACAAGTGAAATGCCTACCCTTTCATATACCTGAAGCCTGAAAACAAACTGTGGAGATCAACAGCAGTATATATTACAAACTTTATATCATAAAATTATGCTGAACAGTTACAAGAAAAAATTAGTAATAAAACAATCTTTTATTTAGCGCACACACCACCTGAACAATGGGCTCATAATGAATTCGAACTCGAACTCGAACTGGAATCCAAACTCGATGTTTCGGGATTCGAGCCTACGGCTTGAAATGAATGGATTTAGAATTGACTTTCGGCCTGAACACCTTAGTCCAAGTTTCAGTACCAAGAACAAGTTTAGTCTAGTAACCTGCAGGCCTGTGAATACAGCAGTTATCTCTCCTCGCTCCACATCGTCTTACTCTATCCAAATAGTCCAACCTTTACCGGAGTTGCACGAGTTAGTTCTGCATGCAGTCAATCCAACTCTCTTCGTCAACGATAAAAAGCACACGGTCATGATAACGAATAAAATTAAAAGAATTCTGTGGATAAAATTAAGTTGCATGACTCAGGTTTGGATATTTTCGTCACTTGGCTTTGTGAAAACTGGAAAATTGTAATATCCATCTTTAAATAAGAATATATAAAAATGTCAAAATACAAAAGATGATACCTCCAAATAAACACCAAATGTCGGGAGCAAACTTATTTTGGTAATCGTTGTTCATTTTATTCGACGTTATATTCAGTCTAGGACCCGGAGTCATTCATACTCCAATTTACTCCTAGCTTTCTCTTTTGTTTAATTTTTTAATATTGCTTTTTGGACAAGGTTATTGAAATTACGTGTTCACGTCATTTGCTGTATTACTTCCCATTATACTACAACATGAGAAATTTCTGCAATTTGATTGGCCTAGAGCAGTGGTATACGTATTTTCAGCTTTTTTGAAATACCTACATGTGAAAATTACAAGCCTTTTGTGGGTAGTAGTATGAACAAATAATGTATGTGATATTTGGCATAAATACCACAAAATTGTCTCGTATAACCATTTTGAATTATCACTCGTGGCATTCATGTTAACAACAAATAATGCTATAACCTATGCAAATTTTTAATGATGGCATGTTACATATTGTAAGGACCGCTTTTTATGTGGAAATACATGTGATTTTACATGATAGGCCTCCGGGATGTTAATAATTTATTTATCCAATAAATACATGATTAGCCTGGCTATTTGAAAAAGGAAGTAGTGAGGGGGGTGTCAGGTCTCCTGTAATTTAGGGGGTCAGTCTCGGGACATGCTTCCGTTCACAAAAAAATTGAAAACCAAATTCTCAGAAGCCTAATTTCCAGCATTCTGAGGATTGAATAAAGTGATAGCAGTGTTAAGGACAGTTTTCATTACGATTATTTTCTATGGGTTAAGTCTTGCTTTTGTTGTTCAATGAGGTTGTTTCTTTCCATTATGAACTGTCAAACGCCGTTTGTTTTTAAAAAACTTTCGATAGAGCGGCAGCGCGGTCCGAGACCTAAAAGCGATAAAAGAACGGTGGCATAGCTGTAAGGGAATTTAACATTTTCTATGTATTCTAGCAACAGCGTTTAATTGTCCTAAAATAACGTTTGGTACAATGATTGCCATAATTTTCCAAAACCGCTGGCCTGCTGAACTGACTGCAGGGCCTTACCCTCTCTGTCCCGTTATTCTCGCTTGATAATACGTATTTCTGCTTTCAGGGAAACTAACAAATACTTCAATTATTGAAATGTTTTAAATATTTTATTCCCGGCCTTTTAATAAAACAGCTGCTTAGCATGTATATGGAAGATGCGCGTTTTAAAGACAAAGAGAAAAGGATTCGAAATAACTCAGGGGAGAGGATAGACATCGTCTTGTAGCGGAGTAAACTTGTTGTTTATGGCATCACTCAATGTGTTCAGGACTGAACGCCAATATTTTGTGCTTCCGGGCTGGAAATAAAGAGAATGTTTAAGAATAGTATCTTTTAAAAAAACCAGACCCAGGGGTTTTTCTATATTGGCCTACGGCGGGGAGGCTCCGCCGGAAAGGGTTACCTTTCATTAGCTAGTTTCTTACACAGTTTGTGATTAGTCCGATTTGAGTTAAATGTTGACAAGCCAAAAACAACTAATATATATATACCAAAAACGAGAAGTCCAAAGACTAGTGCAACGCTGATTCAGAACAACGTGTATTGTTTTTTCAAAACAATATTTCGGCTGGCCATACCAGCCTTCCGACAACCTTTCTCGAAATAGCTGTATAAGAAAGGGTGGTGATTTCACTAGTTTAAGTATATTAAAGGGTAGGAAAATCTGTCATTTGGGTCTGTTAAAGGGCCCAATAGGGCTAATAGATGAATGAAATGGCTTTGAAAAGTCCAGAAAACTTTCTGTTTTTGAGATTAGTAGCCTGTTGACAGACTCTCTACTTCCTCTTCAAAAGTCCCTCGAGCGCGGGTGATAAAATGTAAACCGCAGGGGATTTATTGACCACCAGTGCAAGGAAGTAGGAACAAAAAGTAAAATAAAAAAACGTCGGTGTACAGGCTATTCTATGTAAAAAAAAAAAGTGCATTTACAGCAGTCAAAAGGGATACAAAGTTCTATAAACAATATAAACAATTATATGTGGAAGAGGCACCATTTGTCACTGATAGAAGGTATGCTAAAGGGGACCTTTTTCGTCAAAAATGATATATAAAAGGGTAAGGGGTTGGATTTTCTGGAGTTTTCTTTTTGTTTTCATTGTGGTTTGCCTAAATTTTTTCAAGCGTTTTGGTCTGTATAAAATGTTTTTGCTTTCCCCATCCCTCTCCATCATTAAATTGTTTTAACTGTGCGTTCCTAAAACAGCAAGCATCGGACGAGAACATAACCTACACTTAGGCAGTATTTTTCGTTTCGCTTGCGCCGTAGACCATTTTCGCCTGGGTAAGGCGAAACGAGTGAACTACAAAAGAGGACATCTTCAAAAAGTGAAGCAGGTCCGACAGGTTAAAGAGAGAGTAGTCATCCCGGTGGCGACATCGCACTTATAAAAAAATGAAAAGAGAAAATCGTGGCTGGGAAAATTCCCTGTCACATATTTTTATGTGCCGGGTTTACGCTTTTTTTAAGTGTTTGCCTCTCCATTCAGTCACACTGAGAATTTCTCTATTTGCCTGTATTTGTCAGCATAATTTTACTTGAGCACAGAGCATCGTTTTCAAACATTAAGCATTTTGAGGAAGATGAAAAACGTCACCTTGAATGTGCATTTTGTTGATCTTGTCTAAGTTTTCTTTCCCCCACATGGGAAATAAGAGGGTCTCAATGGGGTGGTGGCTTTTACGGTTATCAGCTAAAATTTTGGCTCCTCTACGGCTATCGGTTAATTTTTTTCAGTTTCGGTTAACGAAAAAGTTAAAAATTAACTTCTTTTGTTTCAAAAAGTTAAATATTAATTAACCTGTATTTTTTTGTATCTTTAAATCAAAATAAAGGTCTTCGGATCATCTCGGGATGAAATAAGCTATTCCTTTGAAAAATTTTAACATTTGATAGATCATACTTTTGATAAAGTATTGCACTTCTGATATTATTTTACACATAGAAATGTCAATAGTCAATTTAAAAATAATCTTTGTGAGAAAGCAAAAGCAGACACGCGAACGCCCAACTCAAGGCCGGGGCGTGACATTCATTATAACCGAAATGGCCGTTTTCACACTAGAGAAGGGTTGTTCGTGTGAGACGGGTTATCCGTTTGATGATTCGCGTCAGATAGGTGATACGTCTTAATTTGGCAATGGACTAGTTTTAATTTTGAATAAAAAATCCGCCTGCCTTTTGAAGACAGGATTATCCGTTCCAGATAGCCTGTGTACAACCGCCCCTTCCCCTCAGAAAAAAATCGGAGAAGGGGTGTCTGTGGGGAGGGCGCGACTGTACACAGGCTAGTCTCAGACGGATGATCCATTTCTAGGTCTAGTGTGAAAACGGCCAATAACAAAATTCCCGTGTCCAGTGTTTCTAATGATAGCGAACGACTGTACGAAACGACTGTCTTGCCGTTGCCTTGTCCGTAGGCCGCATTATTTCGCGCGGCTGATGCCTTTCGGGTCATGTGGTCCGAGCGAGTTCGCCACCGAAATGCCTTGACCGAGATTGCGTGGGAAGACGCCGAACAGGGACTAGGCCTGGCAATGTCTACCGTAGCGTCCGAGAAAAACAGGGGAATGTTGTTTATCGGCAACGTGTTTTACAAACACTGACATCTCTGCGTGTTGTTTCACTACTGTTTTGAGGGCACGGCCTCCTGAAAATTGCAAATATTAATCCCCAGCAAGAAGCCACACTTTCGCTATGGAAAAAATTAGTTCCCCAAGAAAGCGCCGGGAAAGGAGCCTAGGTCTTGGTTAACACCTAAAAGGCGCTTCGCCTAACGTGCGTACGGAGTCACACTAGCCGGGAAATAAAAAACGCAACCATAAGTGAGTTTAGTACCTTCCTTAAAAGTAGCAAATCTAGGGAACACTTTCCTTTACGGAGAACTCTTTTTAACGCTATTTACGGCTAACGGTTAATTTTTTTAAATTTTTACAGCTATCGGCTAAATTTTTGGCCGTTTTACGCCTATCGGTTAACCCCATTGAGACCCTCAAATAAAACAAACGAAAGAAAATGAAAAACACTTCAGAGCACAAATGCAGCCCATAAGTCCTTGCGGCAGGTGCGATTTTCATTAGGATAAGAGCCTGGGGACGAGGTGCACTTCCAATAAACAAAATGGCCGACTGGCTCAGTGCGCTCAGGCGGTGGGGCTATACACAGATTTGTGTGGCACATGGAATAGTGTCATGGGGGAGTAAGGATAATGATGAGGCAGGAGAGCTTCAACTTTGGTATGATGAGAGGAATAACCATTACCGCCTTTATGCCAGCAATACAGCGGTATGTAAAGTTATTGATGTTTTTACTCTTCACTTCCAAAAGTGCACTGACAAAATCAAAACGTTATTAACGAAGAAGTCGAAATTTCATTTCGTCTAATACTGAAAACAAATAGTACCATGTGAGTGTACTGATAAAGGGGTTTTGTCCAGGGGCTCAAGAGTACGAACTAAAATAATGTTGTGGTTCCATAATTGACTCTGGGAGTGATAGGGTTTTAACTATGTACAATTTAACAATTATTTATATTAAACCCTTTTTATTTAAAAAAATTAGCTTATTTATGTGTTTATGCAGTCACCTAAATGTATCTGTTGTAATTTTCCACCTCATGTAACTTTTTGTTTTTCTTTTGTTTTTGGGTATGGTAATGTATGCTAATGAAATTGAAACAAAAGAAAAATAAAAATTACCTGAGATAAAAACTTAACTACAACATATCCATTTATTATTTTATATGCTTTGTTCTTCATTAAACATTTAAATACAGTAAACACCCACCAATAAGAACCTGTGGATTAAGAACCTTCTGGCAGAAATTTGCCACTTTAATACCCATGCAAAAATACAAGAACCTGTTTAGCCTAGCCTATGTTGCAGCCAGCCCACACACTCATCTAAACCATTTGTATAGTCCATTTGCGAACAAGTGCATAAAAGTTCATTCTAACATCCTGCAGAGTCGCAAAGACACATGTGAGTGTTTGTGATAGGTAGGTTTCTTGCGGGTTAACATTAATGTTATGCGCCTCATGATTGGCCGAATTCTTCGCGTGCGCATGCCAATATTAAAAGGCACAGTGACATGTCAAAATTCACAGAAGGGAGTTGGCAATGATCATTTGCAGTTTACAGAAAATAATAAAAAAGCAGTTCAAACTTTAAACAGGGCTTCTGATATTTCGTGCGGTCGCGGACCCGCGAAATTCAGGTATTTCCGTGAAATCCCGTGAAATTCCCCCAAAAACGTGAAATACTGCGAAATCCGCCAGAAATATTTCCAAATACATGTCGGCAAAACATATTTAATACTTATCTTGGCTATTAGACCGGTTTTGTTCACCCCAAGCGTCCAAATTTAGCTTGAAACTTCATCACTGCGACGAGTAAACAACGTCCCAAAACTACCAGGCGTTTTTAGATGAACGTTGCGAAAAAGTGGGCACTAACCATAATGTTGATGGCTTTAACATGCGCTTATTTCTCGAGCGAACTGTTGTTGAAAGAGTAAATGATTATCCGTGTTAAAAAAAACATTCACCACTGCTGGTCATATCGACGCAAAATTGATCAATTTTAGCGAAATTTGCCAAAAAAACCCCAGCGAAATCGGCGATTTTTTACTGATTGTTTCTTGGCGAAGTTTCCCCCCCGAAATTTCTCGTGAAATCGGCCGATTTTCCTAAGAAATTCTCAGGAAATTATTTGCCCCTGAAAATCCTTCGAAAATTGACTCTTTTCCGCTAAAATCCCTCGAAATGGGCCGATTTTCCTGCGAATTTTGACTTTTCTCCCGCGAAAATCGCCTGAAATTGGCCGATTGTTCCGCGAATTTTGATTTTTTTTCCCGCGAAAATCCGGCGAAATCGGCAGATTTTTCAGCGAATTTGCCCCTGAAAATCCCGCGAAATTTTGCTTTTTTTTCCGCGAAATATCAGAAGCCCTGTTTAAAGCCTTCTTCTGCACAAAAAAATACTTTGTGAGAATTCCTTGTGATTTTTTTTATAAGAATTTGCTTGTATAAATTTGCCCACTGGTTTTCCAGCATCTTCCAATCACTGCAGATGCACTGTCGTGTATTCTGCAATCTAGCCGACAGTTCTAGGCTTCTAGCATCCCAAAAAAAAAATTCAGGAAATCATTATCTTCACAGCCAAAAATAAAACCTACTACATGTGGCTATCCAGGTCCAGGCATTTTAGAGAAACCAAAGAAACTAAGGTTATTTCGCCACAAGAAAAAAGCGTAAGGCTTAAACTACGGTGGCCCACAGGGGACATGCTGCAAATAAAAAAGTTGCTGCAAATTAAATAGAATTGCTGCAAATAAAAAAGTTGCTGCAAATAAAATAAAGTTGCTGCAAGTTAAATATAGTTGCTGCAAATAAAAAATAATTGCAGCAAATAATAAAAATAGTTGGTGCAAAAAAAAGCAGTTGCTGCAAATTAAGTGACAGGAAAGTACGCGCACACGTTGATGGGAAGAGGAGGACTCAGTATAGTTGTAAGGAAGTTAAAGGCAGAACTCCCAATGTGGTTTTTGTGGTTGCCTTGAATTATCAACTGCCTTCAAGTTACATTTTTGCACTCAAGCATGTCTTTTGTAGGATAATGATCGGAGGTCTCAAACTGTTTTCAGCACTGCAGAGGCCAGGGTTGTCACTAAGATTTCAAGTTGCCAGGTAAATACAACAAGTAGGTGGGGAATCGAACGGCTAGGCATTTGTTGTGGTTCTATTTTTCTTCTATTTTCCAATAAAAGTAGCTGGGGGCCACTCTCTTAGTAGCCGGGGAAAATCCCCGGCCCCCGGCTCTTAATGACAACCCTGAGAGGCTGATTTCTTATTAGGCCTGTAGACTGCAGTTTGCCATCAACGTCTTTTTAAGGTCTTATACCGTTGGGTTTTATGTTGTAATGAAAGGCAATAGTCTCTCTTTATTTTTTTGGTTTTTGTTTTAGCCCCTATCAGTGTCTCGAGTCAAGGTTGACCCCTGACAACGACCTTTCTATATCCGGTTTAGGATTTTTGTGTGCTTCGAGTTCACAAGGCACTCTTCAAATGTTTTTTTTGAGGAGTTTTTTCTAATCAATCTTATTTCTTCGCCTTTAATGAAACTTCTTTTTACCCCCGGAGGGTGGAACGAGGTAAAGTGTATAATATATTTTATTGAAGTTTTTAGTTGGCTTATAGTGGGATTTGATGTCCAATGAAGATGGATTTCTAAGTGAGATGTTCTTCTTTGAAAACTATTGTATCAAGGAAAGTTATTTCGTTATTTCATATTTCAGCCGTGGACTTAATTTTTGGGATGGGACTTGTTAGTTTCTTTAATAAAAAGTTGGGTCTTTTCTATTACAGTCCCAAAGAAAGGAAACGTCATCAATGAAACATTTCCATTGGTATTTCTATGTTGGATTAGGTTTGTTTCAGTCTCTGCCTTGTAGATATTTGCAAAGGACACTACTGTTTTTATGCCCAAAGCAACTCCATGGGTTTGAACATAATTGTTTCCATTGAACTCAAATAAGTTTTCTGTCACTGAGGATTAGGCCAAGCATTTCGTGAGTGGGCCCTGGATACAACTATACTGAGTCCTCCTCTTCCCATCTGTGCGTGCGCATATACTTTCCTGTCACTTAATTTGCAGCAACTTTTTTTTTTTATTTGCTGCAATTATTTTTTATTTGCAGCAACTACTTTTTATTTGCAGCAACTTTATTTGTTTTGCAGCAACTTTTTTATTTGCAGCATGTCCCCTGTGGGCCACCGTATTAAACAGAGGTAAAAGAAAATCATTTTGTGGTAAATTAACTGCATGTGATCAAATCCTGTCAGAAAACATCTGCAGAAACATAAACTAGAGGAACTAATTGCTCAATATGCATGGAACAGACCAGCAACCTCAACCTCTAAATGTGACACTCAAAGTGGTAAAATAAAATTTGCTCAGTGTAGAATACTCCATGCACTGCATAAACTACACAAAAAGAGAGCAAGAAAAACCACTGTTGTTCAAGCTGACTCTTCGGTCACGTTAATTGCACTATCAAAAGCTCAATCTCCCTTCTCACAAGCTATATATTATATAAATTAGTTGTGTTTGGCCTATCAATGCTTAATTCAAATCAGGCTAATGACATTAAACTGTGTAACAAACGAGCCAATCAAAAATGCTCACATATGTCCTTGCGACTGAGGGATTCAAACATGATATTGTGAAGCAAGTTAAGCCTAAGAAGATCATCATTGCAAGTTACATGTAAGCTTAAATTATGATGAACAATTTAACAAAGGGAGGTAACTATCAGTGGTAAAAAGGGGGGTACCTATGAGTTATTTTTTAAGTATATATTCATAAGTCTCGCTTGCTCAAGAAATGAGGAGGCAATTACATCTACATGAAGCAGGATTTTCTTGTGACAAGTTTTTGACTTCCTACTTTATTGACAGTCCAGTATTCTTCAAGATATTTTATTTTATATAATGGTATTTGACAATAATTATTTGTTTCTGAATTGATTGAATACATGTGCATAAATACACGAAAATTAAGGGCGTAGATTCGAGTATGAGAGAAATTACACCATTGCCAGAGAGCAAAAAAAGTGATGAACATGGCATGTCGTTTCGGTCATCGCTGAAAATGAAACAATGAAAGTTTACAACACCCGACCAGTTAGCCTCACCATCTGCCCCATTGATCAAAGTTTTGCTCATTAAGATTCTTCTTTTACTTGACCACTTGTTCCAAAGTAATCACCACTTTTAAGCAATAGAATTCGTGGACCAACCTATTCTGGAAAATCTTTTGCATTAACTTTTCCTAAGCTTTCTTCACAAAACATTCGTGGCGAGCTCTTGAGTCATGCCTCAATTCGTTATACCCCCAGTTTCTATGTTCAACCCTGCAGGGACCATGTCTTCTCTTTTCTGGACTAAATACAAGGAACAAAACATGGCTTACAGATTCTGAATCTGCAATTGAGACTAACAAGAAATTTGGTCATCAGTTTTGTTAGGGTTATATGACATAATACAATTATTATGAATAACTTTAAAAAGTTTAAAATTTATTTTTGTGATTTTAAATCAACAATCTCTCTTTTTCATACGTAAAAACTAAGAACCTAATTAACCTACATAGCCTAAATTGCCATTAAGTACCCCAAATTACAAGAACCTATTTTGTCAGACTTCAAAAATAGTAGGTTCTTATTTGCTGGTGTTACTGTACCTCATTTACCAGTTTTATGTAAATGACTGGCCTACATGGTAGCTTTATGCACCACAGCAATAGGTTTATGAGGAATTGAAGTGAGTGAGTTCACTTGATTCATGTAAGAATAACTTTTAATGAATAAACCAGTGCTGTGTTTACATTTGATCATTACCAATTCACTGAGGTTATTTTAAAATACCTTTCATGTAGTGACTCCAGGAGGTATTACATGTATACCTGCATAGGTTCATGAGAAAATTGAAACTGTTACCCTCCACACCAGGATGTGGTTTATACTTCTCCCCACGTAGGGCATCAGAAATTCCAGTGGGAAGGGGGTCCCGGCAAGAGGAGGCAATTTCCAAGGGAGTGGGGTCAGATTCTCAAGGTCTTTTTTCCAGGGACTTTGAATGAAACAAGAATTATTGTTTTTATTGATGATCTTACATTAACAGTTATAGCTGAATGCTTTTTTCACAGCTTACCTGTATGATATAGTTTACATATATCTAATATGAATGTCATCGGCTCATGAATAATGCCGGTCATCCAGCTCATTGCTTTATATTTCACAATATAATTGTGGTATTCACTGTGTTATGGTCATGTTCTATTAGCCTTCTTTTAACTTGTTCTTAAGGTGGCTCGATACAGTTTTTCAGGGCCAATACCTCCCAAGTTTGAGCATAAACTACGTCGCCATAAACAAAGTTTTTGAAAAATTGCCACCACAGTTGTATTAAATGAAGATGGAAATTTGTTATGATCAGGGTTGCAACGGCATCGGAGTTGTCATAGCAACGAAATGACGCTATTACCCATTTTACTTGCAGCAGTATATCTCGGCACTAGGAACTGTTCTTCGAAAATCATTCACTGGAGCTTTTTCCTCCAATAGCAGCCTCGACGTTCGTGAAGTTTAAGCGAAATCTGTAAGAGCGTTATCGAGATATTTTGGGATAAAGTTTTTATTGTTAGAAATGCGGTAAAAAATGGACAATATTGGTGTTTGGCCGTTATCTGTAGAAAATGAAGCGCTTTCGACATGGAATTTCACCTCATAGTAGCTTCAATCTTTTTAAAAACATGTGTGAAAGATCAAGGAGATAGCTTCAGCCGTTTGCTAGAAAGAAAGATTTGATTAGTATGTATCGAGGCGCTCTGTTAGCGGTTTTTTGAACATTTTGGTCTACTTTAACAAATTAGCGAATAATTTTTAAGCCGCTCGATAGATTTTTTTAAAAATTTAAGATTCTTGAGATTAACCTTCTTTCTATATGCTTTTTTAGTTTCAAGATTATTGATGTATTGTAAGGCAGTAAAATAAGGGCTACAATTCGACAATATTTTGGCAGAAATTTTGTGTTTACAAGTGTGAGCCTCTCATTATTCAGAGTATTGTGTCCAAGTTTCATACTTTCGTGCACAACAGTAGCTAGCATTTTTGCATATTTCAAATGCATTGTTAGTTACTGCTGTTCACGTGAAAATGAAACTTGGAGACAATGCCTTGAATAATTAGAGGCTTTCACTTGTAATGAGGAAACTTCTGATAAAAAAGTAACAAATTGTAGCCGTTATTTCACTGCCTTACAACATATCAATAATCTTGAAACTAAAAGGTCATATAAAAGGAAAGTTAATCTCAAGAATCTTAAATTTTAAAAAAAATCCATCGAGCGGTTTAAAAATTATTCGCTAATTTGTTAAAATAGACCAAGATGTTTACAAAACCGCTATCAAGAGCGCTTCGATACATACTAATCAAACCCTTTTTTTCTAGCAATCGGCTGGAGCTATCTCCCATGATCTTTCACATACGCTTTTAAAAAGATTGAAGCTACTATGAGGTGAAATTCCATGTCGAAAGCGCTTCATTTTCTACAGATAACGGCCAAACAACAATATTGTCCATTTTTTACTGTGTTTCTAACAATAAAAACTTTATCCCAAAATATCTCGATAACGCTCTTACAGATTTCGCTTAAACTTCACGAACATCGAGGCTGCTATTGGAGGAAAAAGCTCCCGTGAATGATTTTCGAAGAACAGTTCCTAGTGCCGAGATATACTGCTGCAAGTAAAATAGGTAATAGCGTCATTTCGTTGCTATGACAACTCCGATGCCGTTGCAACCCTGATCATAACAAATTTTCATCTTTATCTAATACAACTGTGATGGCAATTTTTCCAAAACTTTGTTTATGGCGACGTAGTTTATGCTCAAACTTGCAAGGTATTGACCCTGAAAAACTGTATCGAGCCACCTTAACTGTTTACTGGTTCTTTCATAGATGCTCTCATAGTACACTGGGCAAAACTGTTCTGGATTGATGTTACATTATACAAAAATATAACAAGCCAAGGAACCTCAATTATATTTTTCTCTTTTGAAGTTTATCAAATTCCACACAATTGGAAAATTTGATTGTGCAAGGAGGACTTGCATTACAGCGTATCCAAACACAGTAACGAAATCACAAAGGGATGCCAAAATCACATTGTTTTTAAGAAAAAAAAACTAATAAAAAAATGACGGGTTGTTATGTTAAGAATATCGTGACGTTTTTGTGGATGTTTCAAAAAGCATTCAGCGGGAAAACACAACGAAAACTTAAGGACAGTCTACAACTTATTTGACCACTCAAAATGAAATATAGCACTTTCCTCAGACTTTCGTCATCTTAAAAGTCTTCTTGCCACCAGATCGGTCTTCCATCTGTTTTGAAGATGGCAGCCTGTTGCTCACGCTCCGTTCCGTGCCAGCAGCCACGAAATGCTGCTGTGTGTTAAAGCATAGTTGGCCAAGAACTTCTGGCACTGCTATGTGGGCCTCTCTAATAGTTGCTGGACCATATTTCTTGGCTTTTCTCTCAGGGGCTTGCCATTTAGTCTCGCGTTGTGTTGCACAACATGCAGCTTGACTCAAACAACTCTGTGGATTTGCCTCGTAGCCCTGCAGTGGTAGCATATGTATGTATCGCAGCTTGAATCTTTGACTCTCTTAACTGCTGATGTATCAAAGGATTATACTGCTGCATGTCAATGACTTGATCCAAGTTATCTTTGCTGCAAGATTTAGTTGGACACAACATTCTAACATGACAACACAGTTCTTTTTCATCAAAAAACATGTGATTTGTTTTTCTTAAAAATTATTTGATTTTGTTTACCTCGGTGATTTTGGTTACCAAGTTTTGATATGCTGTAACACAATTCCTCCTTGTGTAATATTATTCCATGTGTGGAATTAAATGTTGTTTAAAGGACAAATATATCATTAAGGGTCGTTATGGCTTGTGATTTTTTGTACAATAAAACGTCAATCCAGAACAGTTTTGTCCACTTTACTGTGTCTTGTAAGGTATTGCCTCCTTGGTTGTCAGTGACATACACCTGTACTCACTGTTAATAATTAACAAAGAAAGGCCTTTATGTGCAAGGCAAAGCTTAGAACATTAGACACTGTTTTAACCCATTCGCTCCTGGAGATTTTGCCGAAAAACGCGTTTTGAAGCTAGTCGAGTGGTTTTCTGGTCACTGTCGTGCTATAAAGAGCTAAAACTACCACAAACTGCTTCACAGTTCGAACACTTCACGGCCTTCTGATCCAGATGCAAACTATCAGCTTGCGAAGTTCGGGCATGCGCAGAAAGCCAACTTTCGAGATAGTTTTTGGGTTTAAAAGTGACACAGCAGTCTTGACTTTTACTTTTCGCTTTCTCTCCTCCCTTCTTTTTTCGCTTTTCTTGCCTCATTTTTTTTTTCTCTTGCTGGGCATTTAGTAGGCTTGATTTTGGTGGCAACAGTTTTTAGGAAAGCTTTTAGGATCTTAGGATTAGGTGAAAGGAAAGGTAGGTGGGTAATGGAACAAGATTTTCATGGAGATTTTCTGGTCAGTGTCACGTGGTTTTTTGCTTGTTTCTCCGGTGTCCTTGACTGAATTGTGCTCATTCTGGTATGGTTTGAAAGATCTCTTCACTCTGCACAAGTTAGCGAAGAAAGTTGTCCTTGACCGTTAAAACTGATGACGTCACAATGGGTAGAAAGGACCTGGATCCGTACGGGCGGTTACGGGCGGTTCGGGGGCGAATGGGTTAAGATGAATAAAAAGATTTTTCCTCTCTTTATCACAGAAAACATACAATTATCTTCTGCATAAAAGTATAGTGCAACAGCATATTCTTTTCGGGGGTGTCCCAACCAAGTTAGATAACAGAAAATTCTGTGGCATGGGGTGTATGACAACCACCCCTCGGAACGGAAATTATAGGGGTGTGGGTGGTCTAAAGTAAAAGTACCCTCCATAGGGGTGGGGGGGGGGTATTATGGATGTTTTCTGAAACTACACATTACAGTTTACTCATATTATCACAGTCAACTGTAAGTTGTGAGTCAGGCAACAAATAACCCTTGTTTTTAATATGTTTTTGTGGTGAAAGTAGTATATAATATGTAGTATTAAGAAGTCCTCGCATTTTTAAAACTTTTTTTGCAATGTTATTTCAACTCAGTTGCTTTAAGTATCAGAAAGTAGGTTAAGTAGGTTAAGATTTAGTGTCCGTTGTCCGTATTAGATAGAGTCCGTATTATAGAGGTTTTGTTTAAAGAAAATATATAAGAATTTTGTCGAGACATTGGAAACTGTCCGTAATGTAGGTGTCCGTATTGAGAGGTGTCCGTATTGAGAGGTTCGCCTGTAGTTTAGTAGGAAAAAGGGAAATCCATTTGTGGTGTGTTTACGTCCTCCATAAAATGTCCGCTGACAGAGGTAATTTTATGCGGCTTTTATGCAGTGATGTAAAAAAAAATGTACAAAAAAGTGTGCTGTATGTGCAGACTTCTTGTTTTGCCTAGGAGTAGTATAAATGCATAAAATAATGCTTTTTTGATGTCTGCTGTTGCAGTTGTTCTTGCTACAGCTCTCTATTTTGATCTGTGTCAGGACAAATGTAAAAATCCAAAATGTACAAAGTTGTGTATATATAGTGAAACTACTGGTTATTACGAAAAATGTTCCTGTTTTGTTAAGAGGTACTTTTTACAGACACAGTGTAAGTGCAATGAAACTTTCATCATTGAATGAATTAAGACATGAAAAATCATGAATATTTTGTTATTTGAAAACTCATTGAGGCCTATTTTATTATTTTCAGCTTGAATCATTATTGCATCTTGAACATATTGCTGAAAGTATTTTGTTCTTTTCTTTTTTTGCCATTTAAATTGAGTCAGGAATCTGCATTTAGGAGGGTACACAGCATACATAATCCATCCATAAAAGTCTATTCTTGTCAATTAAAATTTTATGTGATTTACCTAGAATGAGATTTTAATAGATCAATTAATAGATAATAATAATAACAAATTTCAATAGATCAATTAAAAATGGTATAAAGATTTACAACAAGTTTAGAAACTTATAATAGAAAGAATTGTAGATGATGTTTCAATAGCTGAGTATACGTAGCAGACACATGCATTAAAACATTCAAGTTTGCTTAATAGATGTTTTTAAATAATTGGTGTGACTTAACCTTATGGATGATGTTTATACAAGTTGTTTGAAAAGCTGAGTAGTAGACACATTTAACATTCAAGTTTGTTTTGTAGATGTTTTTAAATAATGGTTGTGACTTAACCTTATGGATTATGCAATGAGTTTAATTTTCATCTCACCCTGATTCAGGCACCTATCAGCTTGTTCTCAGTAACAAAGGAGCTGTGACATTAAGCAACAGTAAGGGCGGATTTAGGGGTGGGCCAAATGGAGCCTTTTTTCCTTGAAATTATCTAGTATTATTTTTATATGAATACTCAGAACAATAAAACGTTTCTATATAGCTGGCAAGTGGGCAACAAGTGATGATGGTGTTTTCATCCCTTTTTCTAATAATTTATTTCTTGCTCCTCCTCTTCGTTGAATTACCTAAGTATGTTGTTTTTCCAGATCAAAATCTGCCAAAGGCTGGTCCACAAGAAGTAAGATTTTTTTATAGTTTTTCTTCCTGTGGTGCTGATACTGTGTAAGCTTTCCTTGGGTTTCTGTGGTTGAAATTGAAATAGCAGTTACAAAAACAAACTGCATGTATACTAGCTGCTAGTTCAAAAGTACTTCAAGAAACTTTCTCTTCTTGGCTTGCTATTATCTCTTTCTAAGCCACTACAGGTACGACTTGGTCATTTCTCTTTTTTCAAAATTTGGGTATGATTGTAGGTCATGTGTATACTGTAAAGTCCTATTTCATTATACAGTACCAGTATGAAAATCAACTCTTTTAGTTATTGGGATCTGAAATATTATTTTATATTGAGGTCCCCAAAGTCAGCAGCCTATGTTATTTTTGCTATATCATTCATGGGTATTTAATTTTGGTTTTGGTTCATAACTTTCTCACAGTCCCCTTGCCCTGTTTGTTCGGTGAAGTTAAGCTGTGTCAGGCGGGATTAGTACTGGGTTGGGTGAGACCTTTTGGGATATAAAATGTAATATAATACATTTTGACTTTAAGTTTATTTTTCAAGAGAAAGCAGTTTATTGTTTAAACATACTTATAGAGCATGTTGTTTCATGTAAAGGTTTTAGAGTCAGAAGAAATTGCAAAGGACTTTCTTTGATCATATTAGTGCGTTTATTGTGAGTAGCTAGGGGAAGTGGTGAACTAGAGGTGACAGATAATGCTGCTTTTTATATCATCTGGCTTGTTTATAGCCTGCAGTGCAGACGGCCCACGTATTGTGTACAGTATCGATATAGTTGGTTTAAAGAAGGTTTAAGGTGTCTACGGTACAAGCTAGCTTGTTTATAGTACAGTATTGTTGTAAAGTGCAATGAACTCAACCAGAGTGCTGCACCCAATAACAATCAGCTAATCACAAGTCATGTTCACAAGGACAGTTAGTTGCCTGTCAAAAACAAGATATCTCTTTAAATCTCAGTGCCACCACCCAAGTGTGTTCACTGTACTGATATTAATTCAACTTAAGAAAATTTTGTAGGTTTTAATAAATTGTATTTTAGACTTGAGAAAGGAATCAAAATTTTGTTGAACCATTACCCCATGCAGTATATATATGCTAACAACCTCATCCATGTTGGTTTATTTGAGCAAACAGTACAATTGATCATCCTCTTTTGGGACACCTCCATTCAGGGGAAACAAAATTTGGTCCCGGAAAATGTGCGCATAATCTGTGTATTTATTACCTCAATTAAAGGGACGAGTGGCCTCTATTCAGAGGAAAGGGATACTTTTTCTGGGTCCGGAAACCTGGGTTTATTTTAACCTCCATTATTACAGGAGACACCTCAGCACTCAAAAAGAGGGCTGATATCTTTAAGAGCACACTAATCAAAAATGGAAGCTTTCCCAAACTGAACTGTCTCACATAAATCAATGAAATGCATTTGTGTGAATTCAACATATAATTATAGCAATAACATCAACAAGTTTATTCAGTATTACCATTTCTGTACAGGTGTTACCGATTAAAAAAAAATTAAATTAAAAAAGAAAATGAAAATAAAATAGTAGGGAGTTTAAGATACCACGACGATGATGGCCACAAAAACGTCGCTTAAAAAGAGAATTTCCATTCTTTCAGTCTCTATCGCGGTTACTCCAACCATTTACTTTGTCAAATGTAAGCGAAGTCTTTGTCAGCCAAATTCCTAAGAATCATATTCAAGTTCAGGAACGGGGGCGTAGCTAAGATTTTTCAAGGTTTCAAGGAGGGAGTGGGGGGGCTAACACTATCACCTTGTCAAACCCAGGTTACTTACCAGATTGGCATGTCGACATCCAGGCCGTGTTTTACTAAACGACAAGCCTACAAACTAGCTGCATAGGTTAATTACGTTCCACATATCATAAATTGCTCTATTTTAGTTATGAAAAGGAACATGGTCCACTGTAAATGGAGTAATTAACAATCTAGCACTGGAAAAGATTTATTGCATGTTGATTCTTCAGATTCGTGCGTTTTGGCCACCTGAAGTATAGGGACGAAAAACAATTATGTCATAAGGGGGCGGGCGGGCACCCCAGAACCACCCCCTGGCTACGCCCCTGATGAGGAGAAAGAAAATTTCGCCATCGCTTGTTTACGTCCCCATAAAACGTGAAATTTGGCATTTTCCTGTCCTGGTCGTGCAGTGATGGCTAAAAAATGTACAAAAACGTGCAGAGTTGTTGCTTTGCCTAGATTCATTTCAACCTATTGCCTTTTTGACGTTCTCTTTGTCATCACCGTGGCATCTTAAAGTCCGTAGTGATGATTCTTTTATGCTGTCTTTGTTGGTTAATTATTAACAAACCCCGGCCCAACCTCTAATCAGGGGGAACCTCTATTCAGGGGACACTTGCTTTGGTCCTGAGGGTGTCCCCTGAATAGAGGTTTCATTGTATTTGTTTTATCTATTGCTTCAAGTTTAATTTTTTTTATTTCAAAGCTCACTTAATAACTTTCTGTGCATTGAACTGTGAGCCTGTCGACTTTCTTGATTGGTATTATTATGATAATCTTTGATAACTAAGACTTTTTTATGCTCCATTTCTTGTACACTGTACAAGTTAAAATTCACACCAAATAGTATTGCATGAAACCTGAAATGATGCGACAATGGCCGCTATTGTCAAATGAAATGTACCCTATGTTATAAAATTATTCTTCAGGTATTATTAAGTCAGTCCGATAATGAGTTTTTTGTGTGTCTTGCATAAAAATGGTTATCATCTTAATATATTTTTTAATCACTTATTACCCTTCTTTTTTCAAATTATAATCTTTCATCTAATGTTGGGGAGAGAAGAAGTTGGCTGACTTGCTCATGGTAGTGAATTAAGGGAGATGTGGTGTTGCCCTCTTCCTAAAGGTCTTGGGGACGAGAAAGGGACCACATGGTCTAGTGTATACTGGGCAACCTCATAGGGATTGGGTGCGAAAACAATGAACAAACAAAGTAACAATGGAACCGAGCCCGAAACAAAAAAGCTGCGACATATAGGAATCCACACAAATTACAGGTTCTAAAGAGCTGCAAGGCTAAGGTTTTGACAAATGATTTTGAGCTAAACATATCGCAAAAAAATTTTGCTGTAGCTGATGGCGTCTTGGTTAAATTAGCCTGTGAAACGCATAATTATGTATGTCCGGTTCTTCGGAGGGAGGCAAGCGACGACCGGAAATAGTCTGCGTTTCGCAGGCTATGGTTAAATGGGATGTGAATATGGTTGTTTTCAGTTGTTATTTTATGGTTCCAGAAATGCTTGTTGATAAGAAGGTCCCTTTTTTTGAAGTAGGTTCTTGTTCTTGGGGTACTTATTGGCAATTTAGGTTAGGTAGGTTCTTAATTAGGTTCTTAAGAGTAATTTTTATGAAGGATATAATAGATTGTTGATAACGAGAATAATACATAAATCTTCTGTTTATTCACAATTATGATAACCCTAAAAAAAAACTTATTACCGGATATCATACAGTTTAGTACAGTATGTTTTTGTTGTACTTAAATTTACAACTCAAAGTTAGTTACACTCCTTTGTTAAATTGTTTAACATAATTTAGCTGCATATAATATAACCTGCTTGATTTTGCTTGCCTAAACAGGTTCTTGTATTCTTAAGTATTAAAGTGCAGATTTCTATCAGAGGTTCTTAACCACAGGTTCTTATTAGCGGGTGTTCACTGTAACTGCCTCTACAGTCAAACCAGTCAAACCTGTATTAAGCGGACCTCTATCATCCTCGAAGACCCAGGGGCAGTCAGTTGGGTCGGGGGAAAAGGCGCGACAAAAGTTTTAAGTAAGGGCGGAAGAGCCCTTGAGTACCGACTCTCACCGGACCATTTCCAAAAATTCAAGCGGATGTCGGCTCCTGATTGGGCACAAAAAAAGCTTTGTATCACTGTGGCCAATCGGCGAACACATTCCCCTAAGTTCTTTTCGTGTGTTCATACACGACGGCTGTTGTCTCGATGACGGCTTGTCTGGCTCATGCACGAAAGAAATTCACGCAGTCAGGAAACTTTCAGTTGGATATAAAATCCACATTTCAAAATACTGTCTGCCTGAAAACTAAAGACGCTTTTCCAAAAATACAAGCTTCAGCTTACAACAGGTATTCACTCTTGCATCGGCCTCGTCTTGCGTAAATATATTTGTAGAGAGTTTTTAAAAGATACCACGACGTAAACGTTGCATGGAAAAGTGAATTGATATTTTTTTCAGTCTCTATTCCAACTCGCTTACTTTGTTAAATGCAAGCGAACTCTTCTGGAGCTGAATTTCTATCAACCATATCAAAGTTTATGAAGAGAATGAATTTTGTCATTGCTTATTTACGTCATTCACAAAACGTGAAATTAGGCATTTTCACGGTTAGTCGTGCAGTTGATGGCAAAGAAATGTACAAAAAAGCGTGATGCACGTGCAAAATTGTTGTTTTGCCTTGTCAAGCTATTTCTTATTTGACTTTCTCGTCGCTGCCGCATCTTAAACTTCCTATTATTTACGATACATTGTGATCCGCCAAAAACAGAATATTTGAGCCAAATTCAATTGCTCCGGCTGATAGCATCCCAAACGTTTTTTCGACTCATCGGTAGTTCCTTCGTTTCTGGTTAGGGAAATAGCAAATAAAAGTTTCCCTTGCACGCACAAGCTTGGTGAACGACCGGGCAAGTGTGGCGAGACAATAGCCGTCGTGTGCGAACTCACGAAAAGAACTTAGGAGAAACTGTTCGCCGTTTGGGCACAATAATACAAAGCATTTTTTGTGCCCAATCAGAAGCCGGTAACCGCTTGAATTTTTGGAAATAGTTCGGTGAGAGGTGGTACCCAGGGGGTCTTTCGCCCGTGCTTGAAAACTTTCGTCCCACCTTTTCTCCCGATCCGACTGACTGCCCCTGGGTCTCCGAGGATGACCTCTCTAAGCGGTCACCAATCAAAGTCCTGGAAATAGCTTCCCTCAATTATGGTAAAAACTGATCTGTATTAAGCTTTTACCTCTATTAAGCAGACGTGGTCACCTGTTTTCGAGGTGCCAATGAGTAATTTGTTATTGTCTTTACCTCTATCAAACTGTCCCTTTGACAAGATGTGCCATACTCGTGCAAAAGCATACACTGTGTAGGGTGTTTAGTGGTCTTGTACAGACTTGCCAACCCCCAAAAGGCAAAAAAAAAAAAGTGAGATTCTGAACCTAGAGCTGGGAAAAGTAGTGTAGAGAAATGGGTATAAAGCGGCGGGCCATAAATTATTTGGGTTGGGAAATGAGGTGACCCATCCCTGCAATGGGAGTGAAAGTTGCTAACCCTCCCCTTTACCTTGGCCTAAAATATCATGACCCTCCCCCTCTAGTATAAATGATAAAATCTAGTTCTTGCAATACACTAGGGTGAGTCAGTATTATGAAAGCTCAAAATATATTTCTAATATGTTCTTTGTAATGCCATATACATACATTTTAGATGACAGCATTAAGAGTCCGACTCTAATTCTGACAGCTGATCACTCGACTCTCCTATTTCTCCTAGTTTTTTTTTACAAAATAAAGAACTTCTTTTTTCTTCTGTGGGTGAACCTCTACATGATCACGGACACATATTTACATGATCTTCCCCCTTTTAACGGCCCATTTTTCATGACCCCACCCTTTTCTGCAGTCTCAAAAAGGCGTGACCCTCCCTCTGTTTCCACCCCTTCCCCCCCTGCTAATTTCTGACAAGTCCCTTGTGGGTCAAAAAAGATGTTGGGGGAAAGGACAGAACTTTTCGTTTTTTCTTTGGTCCGTACATTAAATTGAGCACCGAAAATTTACCAATCTAGATTAAGAAGTACAAGTTATGCATGGTGAAAAAAAAAACAACAACAGCAACAAAAAAACGACAATATAAATATGAGCGGTCTTGACAAATGATTTTGATTAGAACATAGTGAACTCATTTTGCTGTAACTGGGAGCATAACTGTATATACTGTAGCAAGTGAGATCTCAGTGAAATGGGCTGTGAATAGCTGTGTTTAGTTGTTATTTTACAGAAACTACTGCCACTATAGTCAATGTAAATTATATTATATCATTATCTTTCCTTACCGTTTTAGTTTAAAATTACGCCTAAAACTACAATGGTGGTCACCAAGGATACAGTTACGATTGAAGAACTAATGCAATGGTACACTCTTCAAGAAGGACACACTGTTCAACTAAAAGATGCTGATCCAAATGAGCTTCAGCTTTTTATTGACAATATGCCCGCCTCTACCAAAGGTAAGAGTGTGAAATATGGTTTTTGATAAAAAGATGAATAAGATTGAACTTACTGTATGTACGTAAGTTTAGAAACAGGGAGCTCAAGCTTATGACGAGAGTACAGTTGACTCCCGATAATTCGAACCCTCGCTAACTCGAACCAAAATCGATTTCCCCTGGAATTCCGTCATACATTTACTGTAATTTTACCCTCGGTAACTTGAACCGTCGATAACTCGAACCTCCCGATAACTCGAAGTAATTTTTGTTTCCCCTCAGATCAATTATATATAATTTTACCCTCGATAACTCGAACCATGTTTTGAGCCCTTAAAAAGTAGGTAAAAAACAGTGTACTGGCATCCGAAACATTGAATTTTGAATTTCCCATTGACGTGTACGTATATAGTTTTCTAATGGAGGCTGATGTTGTTTGTCACAAATCTATGTGAAGCAGCTTCACTTTTCAAAACAGTAAAACCCATGCTCTATTTAGGCAATGGTTGCGTTCCGTTCTGATTTATAATGTAGAAGTATCTTTCAATTTTCACTTAACATTTCTACAATTAAGTGTGATTAAAATGTTCACTGTGCAGTAAAAACTGTTTTTTCCTTACTCACGGCAAGGTTTCATCGAGCTCCCGATAACTCGAACTCTTTTCGATTTCCCTTGAAGGTTCGAGTTATCGGGAGTCGACTGTAGTTAGTTTGGTTTTTTGAATTGAGAAGCATATGGTTTAACCCGCACATATGTATGAATAGCCGGGCTTAAATATTTAACATTGATGAGTGAAAGACGCTTTTCCAAAAATACAAGCTTCAGCTTACAACAGGTATTCACTCTTGCATCGGCCTCGTCTTGCGTAAATATATTTGTAGAGAGTTTTTAAAAGATACCACGACGTAAACGTTGCATGGAAAAGTGAATTGATATTTTTTTCAGTCTCTATTCCAACTCGCTTACTTTGTTAAATGCAAGCGAACTCTTCTGGAGCTGAATTTCTATCAACCATATCAAAGTTTATGAAGAGAATGAATTTTGTCATTGCTTATTTACGTCATTCACAAAACGTGAAATTAGGCATTTTCACGGTTAGTCGTGCAGTTGATGGCAAAGAAATGTACAAAAAGCGTGATGCACGTGCAAAATTGTTGTTTTGCCTTGTCAAGCTATTTCTTATTTGACTTTCTCGTCGCTGCCGCATCTTAAACTTCCTATTATTTACGATACATTGTGATCCGCCAAAAACAGAATATTTGAGCCAAATTCAATTGCTCCGGCTGATAGCATCCCAAACGTTTTTTTTCGACTCATCGGTAGTTCCTTCGTTTCTGGTTAGGGAAATAGCAAATAAAAGTTTCCCTTGCACGCACAAGCTTGGTGAACGACCGGGCAAGTGTGGCGAGACAATAGCCGTCGTGTGCGAACTCACGAAAAGAACTTAGGAGAAACTGTTCGCCGTTTGGGCACAATAATACAAAGCATTTTTTGTGCCCAATCAGAAGCCGGTAACCGCTTGAATTTTTGGAAATAGTTCGGTGAGAGGTGGTACCCAGGGGGTCTTTCGCCCGTGCTTGAAAACTTTCGTCCCACCTTTTCTCCCGATCCGACTGACTGCCCCTGGGTCTCCGAGGATGACCTCTCTAAGCGGTCACCAATCAAAGTCCTGGAAATAGCTTCCCTCAATTATGGTAAAAACTGATCTGTATTAAGCTTTTACCTCTATTAAGCAGACGTGGTCACCTGTTTTCGAGGTGCCAATGAGTAATTTGTTATTGTCTTTACCTCTATCAAACTGTCCCTTTGACAAGATGTGCCATACTCGTGCAAAAGCATACACTGTGTAGGGTGTTTAGTGGTCTTGTACAGACTTGCCAACCCCCAAAAGGCAAAAAAAGTGAGATTCTGAACCTAGAGCTGGGAAAAGTAGTGTAGAGAAATGGGTATAAAGCGGCGGGCCATAAATTATTTGGGTTGGGAAATGAGGTGACCCATCCCTGCAATGGGAGTGAAAGTTGCTAACCCTCCCCTTTACCTTGGCCTAAAATATCATGACCCTCCCCCTCTAGTATAAATGATAAAATCTAGTTCTTGCAATACACTAGGGTGAGTCAGTATTATGAAAGCTCAAAATATATTTCTAATATGTTCTTTGTAATGCCATATACATACATTTTAGATGACAGCATTAAGAGTCCGACTCTGATTCTGACAGCTGATCACTCGACTCTCCTATTTCTCCCAGTTTTTTTTTACAAAATAAAGAACTTCTTTTTTCTTCTGTGGGTGAACCTCTACATGATCACGGACACATATTTACATGATCTTCCCCCTTTTAACGGCCCATTTTTCATGACCCCACCCTTTTCTGCAGTCTCAAAAAGGCGTGACCCTCCCTCTGTTTCCACCCCCTCCCCCCCTGCTAATTTCTGACAAGTCCCTTGTGGGTCAAAAAAGATGTTGGGGGAAAGGACAGAACTTTTCGTTTTTTCTTTGGTCCGTACATTAAATTGAGCACCGAAAATTTACCAATCTAGATTAAGAAGTACAAGTTATGCATGGTGAAAAAAAAAACAACAACAGCAACAAAAAAACGACAATATAAATATGAGCGGTCTTGACAAATGATTTTGATTAGAACATAGTGAACTCATTTTGCTGTAACTGGGAGCATAACTGTATATACTGTAGCAAGTGAGATCTCAGTGAAATGGGCTGTGAATAGCTGTGTTTAGTTGTTATTTTACAGAAACTACTGCCACTATAGTCAATGTAAATTATATTATATCATTATCTTTCCTTACCGTTTTAGTTTAAAATTACGCCTAAAACTACAATGGTGGTCACCAAGGATACAGTTACGATTGAAGAACTAATGCAATGGTACACTCTTCAAGAAGGACACACTGTTCAACTAAAAGATGCTGATCCAAATGAGCTTCAGCTTTTTATTGACAATATGCCCGCCTCTACCAAAGGTAAGAGTGTGAAATATGGTTTTGATAAAAGATGAATAAGATTGAACTTACTGTATGTACGTAAGTTTAGAAACAGGGAGCTCAAGCTTATGACGAGAGTACAGTTGACTCCCGATAATTCGAACCCTCGCTAACTCGAACCAAAATCGATTTCCCCTGGAATTCCGTCATACATTTACTGTAATTTTACCCTCGGTAACTTGAACCGTCGATAACTCGAACCTCCCGATAACTCGAAGTAATTTTTGTTTCCCCTCAGATCAATTATATATAATTTTACCCTCGATAACTCGAACCATGTTTTGAGCCCTTAAAAAGTAGGTAAAAAACAGTGTACTGGCATCCGAAACATTGAATTTTGAATTTCCCATTGACGTGTACGTATATAGTTTTCTAATGGAGGCTGATGTTGTTTGTCACAAATCTATGTGAAGCAGCTTCACTTTTCAAAACAGTAAAACCCATGCTCTATTTAGGCAATGGTTGCGTTCCGTTCTGATTTATAATGTAGAAGTATCTTTCAATTTTCACTTAACATTTCTACAATTAAGTGTGATTAAAATGTTCACTGTGCAGTAAAAACTGTTTTTTCCTTACTCACGGCAAGGTTTCATCGAGCTCCCGATAACTCGAACTCTTTTCGATTTCCCTTGAAGGTTCGAGTTATCGGGAGTCGACTGTAGTTAGTTTGGTTTTTTGAATTGAGAAGCATATGGTTTAACCCGCACATATGTATGAATAGCCGGGCTTAAATATTTAACATTGATGAGTGAAATATCCGGACTAAATTTTATAAATTTTATAAACATTAACGCCGGCTTATGAATTTGGTCGACCGGCAATCCTCGCGTCAAAACGCGCTGTTGACAGTTTCAAGAGGGTTAGACTACAAGAACAACATTGATGTACTTAAAAAGAGCATAATATCGGGCTGGCCCCAATTCTAGTGATTTGGAGTCAACAAAGCAGATCATATTTAAGACTAAATGAAAGCTTAGAGTCAAACATTAGTTAGACTTTCTGAAAGCCCGTTTCCATTTTTCTGTTTTTTTTTTTAGACTATTTCTCTTTACACGTTCTGTGGGTAATTTATCAACCAATACGAGATGGATCTGGGAAGAGCCACATGATTGTATTTTTTACCCCATCATTTGGTTGTTTCTAAAGGCGTATCTCACGTAAGCCCAGAATGTTGAAACGCTCAATAGCGCTAGCCTATCCATCGCAAAATTAAACAAGACTTACCTGTAAGTTGAAGTTTGACTGAGATTGCTGGGAACCGGTAAAAGAAAAAAGGAAATATAGTTTGAAATAGAGTACTAGCCCGCACAAGGCTTCAAACTAGAGTAACGGAAAGAAGTATACATGTAGAATACTACATGGAACGAGTACGCGCGTACGGTCTTTGTGCACGATGGCAGCTCCCATTGCCTCATAATGTTTCCTGAACTTCGCTTGGCAGGACATTTCAACTGAACTGACTAAACAATTCAAGACGTCCAAAAGCAGTATTTTATGGTACATGTAGTCTGTGTCGGGAAAGAGGTCACTTGACGGCCAGTAAGTACTTTTAGTATGTACCAAAACAGTGGATAGTGCTTTTCGCGCGCTCTGATTGGCTACTCAATCAGTGACTATCCGGCACTATTTACTGATTCACCTCCAGTTCCTTCGAGCGAGCGACGCCAAACTCGCGTAGGTTGCGAGCAAAATGCTTTCCCGGTTTGCTGCCGTAACAAACTAAGAAATTTCACAACTAATCAAGCAAGCTATTTCCGAAATACATGAAGAAGGTGACGAAGTTCGGTTTGGAAGTTTTAACAGGTAAAGCTTTGTCTTTTTGACTTGAATAGTTATCGATAAAACAGGTGAAAAAGTTTTTTGTTTACAAATGCAAATTAAGCGTAAGTCTCGCGTTATTTTACTTTGTTGACTTGTTCATAAATAAGCTTAAAACTAAATTTAATAATCTTTTTTACAGAATTATTTTAAATACAAACAGAATTCACAACTCCTTTTGAAGAAACTTCGCCGCAAGAGCAAAAAAAACGCCTTCAAAAGTTTTATTTGTCGCTAAGAAAAAGCGACGACCGCGGCCGTTCGGTCATCGCGCGCCAAAATTGTAATAGTTGGCAACAGTAAATGAGTTTAAAATCATTATTTTGTGCTCAATTATCTCACTGTTTTAGTATATACTAAAACAATTATTCACCTCAGTGTCGGTGGCTAGTATTGGATATTTACCTCGCCGCTTCGCCGCCTCGGTAAATATCCAATACTAGCCACCTCCACTTCGGTGAATAACTGTTATTGAAAAAAAGTGTTCAAAATGAAACATGAAAAAGTCTGGAGTACACATCATCGAAAGGGCAAACTTTTGATCATTCCAAGTGGCTTCGTCCCGTGAAGGAGTCAATTGCAGCAATTAAAGGGAAGCGACGGAAGAATTATCGAAAAGCAAACGAAAGGAGACTTTGATTAACAGTCTAGATAAACGTCATATGTGTACATTGCTATCGCTCTGTCGGGTCTGTCACAGCTAACAACCATGAGAGGAAAATCATCATCGGAGACGATGGACTCCCAATGCTCTTTGCTAATGTGAATGTTATAGCTGACTTCAGTTGGTAATTACCTGATAATCTGAAAAGATGTTTTTAGAAATTAAAATTGATAGTCTGTCAAAATGCTTTTTAGCGAAATCGACTGTATCATACGTCTTGTATGATTTCTTTAGCATGCGATTTCCTTGGGAGCACGTTTCCTAACCTGAAATCTAAAATACATTTATGCCGGTAAAAATGAGGGTTCGCTCAAGGAAGGAACTGTTTTTGAGAAATGGCAGTTAACAAACAAACAACCCTTAGAGACGATGGGTGCAACTAATTCTGAATATTAATTTCATCTTCTTTTGACGGGTTGTTTTGTATTCTCTCCGTTTGACGCACGTTTTATTTTGTATAAAATTCAAAATTTCTCCGCCTAACGATTTGTTGACTACCAAGTGGTTTCGTCCATTTACACTATTTTTTTTTTTTACTTTTGTGCCATATTTATATTCAGACGTAAAAAACTGATAGTTTTTAACTGTTTAACTTTTAATATATTCCCGGCATTTTAAATTTTAAAACAAGGCCATTATTGTCAAATGCTCTTTAAATCCCATCCGTTTGCGAAGATCAAATGCAGCTGTGGGAGCAATGTAATGTTTGGTACAATTGATGCAGTGATCTTGCTTATGAGAACCGCATAGAAAGGACAGTTAGTAGCCTTAGAGGTGTCTTTATAAGTGTCTTCATATCATTGTACATGCAGTACTCTTTCATTATTGCTGATCCTAGCAGTATGTGGGAAGTGTGTCACATATGAACCTAGTAAATGGCTTAGTAGCCTTACCGCGCGCGAATGTGCTGAGGAGATCGTTAATTTAGCCCACATGATAAGCGACGAATCTTCGGCTAAATTGTCGATTTCTAGCCTTGTGTCTAGAGCAGACGAGGAGGCCCTTGGTGTCAAAGTCTCTGGTGTAAACAAGATACTAAGGAAATTTTGTAATCAAAATGACTGGGGCTATGTTGACCATTCCAACATCTCCGCCGACCACGACTTAAATAGAAGCGGTCTCCACTTGAATGCAAAAGGAACTGCTCGATTGGCTTCTAACTTTGTTAAATTTTTAAAATTAAGAGGAGATTAGAATACTGTCGAGCGGGAGTCCGACGAGGACATGCTTTCCAGGGAGTCCTGCAAGTACACTTTTAGTAAGGGTAAGCCATCAAAATTTTTAAATTCATTCGGTCGTGGTTTTGTCATGGCATCGCTTAACATAAACAGTTTACTCGCTCATATTGACGACCTTAGGATATTTGTGACTGATTCTAAAATTGATATACTTGCAATCAATGAGACAAAGCTAGACAGTTCCATTGGTGACTCCGAAATATCTCTACCAGGATTCGAAGTCGTTAGGAGGGATCGTCCGGTGAATGGGAGATGCGGTGGCGGTGTTTGTATATATTTACGAAATAACATAAATTATCATATACGGCATGACTTAAGTGATAACCAACTCGAATGCCTTGTTATCGAAATTACTAGGCCGCATTCTAGACCCTTTTTAGTAAGCACGTGGTACCGACCTCCAAGTTCCTCCCAGGACATTTTTAGTCGATTTGAAATCCTGGTGGATAAAATTGACTCGGAAAACAACGATTTCTACCTGCTGGGAGATCTGAACTGTGATATGTTGCACAATCGGTCAAACTACCACATTTCGTCCAATTTAACGAATATATTTGATATTTACGGATTGAGCCAAATGATCTCTGAACCAACCAGGATTACATCAACATCACGCACATTAATTGACCTTTGTATAACTAATTCTCCCGAAAAAATTGTTAACTCTGGTGTCGTTCATCTTGGGATTAGCGATCACTCACTGGTTTTTATGACTATAAAAATACGTTATGAACGTGTTGGCACGCACCGTACTATCGAAACTCGTGATTACAAAAAAATTGACAGCGACAAATTTTTAAATGACCTTGTTCAACAGCCACGGGATTTAATTAGCTTAGAGCCAAATCCAACTGCTATGTGGGATGCGTGGAAAACCCTGTTCATGGAAATTGTCGATAAAAATGCCCCACTGAAAACAAAGCGGATCTCAAAAAAGCATTCTCCGTGGATTACATATGACCTGATGCGTAAAATCTATAAACGAAATTATTTGAAAAAGAAAGCTATTATTGAAAACAATGCGGCTAGTTGGGAACAATACAAGCAAGCGCGGAATGAAACTAACAATGCTATCAAATCAGCCAAACGTCAGTATTTTTTGCACAACTTAGAGTTGAATAAAAAGAATTCGTCCAAAACTTGGAAGCTAATTAACGAACTGAGCTCGCGTAAATCTTGCACAAACCGCAATATCACTGAAATTAAAACAGATAACGAAACTATAAATTCTGCGCCTGAAATTGCAGAAGCTTTTAAT